TGGCTCCTATCTATTGTAATATCTATATACCAATTTCAGCCCCAAGGAATGCTCCTAGTGCAAGTGCAATCCAATCTGGGGAGGCCACTTACTGCCATTTTATATTCAGATATGACTTCAGAGACTGGAAGGTATTAATGCAACACACACACACACAATTTTTGAAATGTCATCTATTTGTACATTCTCACATTTTTTGAACAATATCAACTGAGTCTCTAAACTAGACTGATGCATAGAATCTTTGCCTGACACAAATTATTTTACTCGTGATATTTTAATCTAGAAGCTCACATTTTTTAGATTTTCAATATCTCACGTTTGTACTGGTATTTTCAATGAGTATACTGTATACGTCTTGTTTATCTTGACGAAATGGGTGGAAAATAGCTACTCCATTGCCAAAAATATTCCCGATGTTCAGTAGCTTTTTGATAGGATTGCTTCTGGATCTCTCATCACATATGATACGCCTATTGAAGGCAATTCATCTAATAAATCTCGGTCATATAGATTAGACTGCCCTTGCCCAGATGTCCCATTTTTATTTATCCTTTCTATAGAAAATGTTTTAAGTATAATACATATCCATAACTTTAAATCTTACAAACTCCAGCAAAATGTCATCTTGCAGTCAATGTTGGCTTCAGTTAAAGCTGGAGAGGAACTAATGCCACATAGAACTGAAGCGCACGATCATTGGTCTGACCCTGGGTCCGAGACTCGGCCCGAGCTGGAGCCCGAACCTGAGCTCGAGACTGAGCCCAAAGGAGCTCATGCAGCCCAGCCCACAACACCTATAAGGAAATTAAGCAGGAACCGAGGTTTGGTTATGCAGGAACAAGCCGTAGTTGCAGATTCTCCGGAAAGTAAAGATACAGCTGCTGCTAGGGCTGCAGCCATTCGCAAGGGAAAAAGGAAACTAACATGAAGTGTCAATTTTACCCCTTTCGGGCAAGATGCTGCCTGCTTTAGGACTGAGGATAAAATTGCTATTATGATTTGGCCACTCTCTCTATGGTTGTAGCATAAATGTAGGATGTGTTCCTGTCAGATTGTCTGAACATTGTTTCATATTCTAATCTCAGCTGTACATAATTTGCTATTTTATTCTTGAATCTATGATTAGTGTTTGACTAGTACAATACCCTTGTACTACACGAGTACTTGTTAAGAAAATTATATTTTAAATTAAATAATAATAACAAAAAAATTGTTTAGGGCATGCTTGTTTATGAAATAATTTGCTCAAAATGAGTTATTTTGATTAACTAGAGTTAAATTTGAAAAAAGTGATAGGGTTAGTTGTTAGTGGGATTTTAATAATATATTAAAATAATATTTAAAATAAAATAATTATTAATGATTTGATGTAAAAGTAGGATATAAATGATTGAAAATGATTGGAAATGATATGTAGTTAAAATTATGTGAGTGGATAAATAGTGAATTAAAGTTGATGTGATATGTAAGAATGATTAGTTTATAATATTTAATTGTATAAATAATATAAATGATAGTGGGGTTGAGTTAGATTTTGAGTATGAAATGAATTATTTCATTAACAAGCATGCCCTTAAGTGTTTAAATACTTTTTTGAAAAATATATTATTATTTATATTAAATTACACTGGCACTTACACTACTTACATTGGCAATTTATTGTACAACTAGGTTGACATCACAAGTAAAAACATCTACAAAAAAAAAATAAAAAAAAAATACACAAGTGGATGTTACCACTTGTATTGTCAACCTAGTTGTACACTAGGTTGGCTATGTATTATTTTTCATCTTATATTATATATTTTTCTAATGTATATCAGATAACTACTTTGTAGTTAAGTTGGTTTAAATAATTATATTTTTTTGTATTAGTATTAATAGATAATTTAATTTTTATTATAAATATAAATAAAATTATTTAATTATTATTTATGTACAATATATGTCAAATCAAAGTCCATCAACACATGATTAATTTGATATATTATATATAAAAATTTGATATACATATATAAAATTTGATATATTAATCATTTTGATTGTAATACACACACACACACACACACACACACATATATATATATATATATATATATAAGTTTGATTATTTTTAAATAGTAACTATTTCCTGTCAAAAAAATGTTGTTTACTAAATCTGAAAATTATTTAAACATTTTATGGTATGTTGTAAAAGTACAATTTAGGTAATTGCGGCTGATTTATTAAGGTAATATTAATCAAATAAAAAAAAAATCCTTTTTTAAATCTATTAATTATATAAAGAATGTGATTTTTGCTGATTTTGAAAGATATATAATTTAGGTAATTGCGGCTGAATTATTATGGTAATACTAATCACATATATGCAACTGACCATAAATAAAAATGTAACTAATAAATATCCATAACAAAAAAAAATACTAAATTTATTTAATTGTGTGGAAAATGAAATCAATATTTGATATCGGTACCTATATAATCAATTTTGAAGATCATTTCGATCTTTGGCTTTAAAAATGCGTAGAATGTAATCAATACAATTTGTATGAAAGTTCTAAAAATAAGGAAATGAACTTTTATTAAAAAATTTATCGACTGAAATGGATATTTATTATATATAGATACCTAACTAATACAGATACATAACACAATAATATTTAAATTTATATTTTATATGTGTCTCGAGATATTCAAAATAACGAAGTTGTACATAAAGATTTATTTTGCTAAATATGTGATAGATACCAATTTACAAATAAAAGATGTGTGCTGAGATACTTTGCAATATACAAAAAATTCTATTTCCAAATAAATCGGTTTTTTTGCCAAAAAAACAGAATGAAACGTGTGAATATACCTTTCAATAGACATAAATTTTATTCACAAATACATAGGTTTTTCTCCACATCTACTCATGAAAATGTGTTGGTATTGTACATGAAGAACCTTGCAACATATATAAATATATATATATATATATATTTAAATTAATTATAATATCAAATATTAAATCATTATAATTTAACATAAATAAATAATATTATCAAATTATTTATATTGATGCAATTTCTAGACCATAATTATCTTTTTCTACAATATTTTCAAATCAAAATATTTTTGGAATTTAATTCAGTTAAGCCTTTTACTAACTCTATAAATTGATAGATAAGTCATGTAATAACTCACATGCTCAATATTTTTTTTAATTTTTTTTTTAGACAATTACAATACTTTCAACATGAAGTGCAAATTTGGGTTGCCAAACAAGTTTTAAGAACCAATAAACCATACTTGATGTTGCGGGTTTTTAATAACATATAATAGTATTCTTTATTCTATTTATTAATTCTATTTATTCACGAATATAATAATAAGATTGTATAAATAACATTAAAATAATGCACCCCGTGCATCACACAGGATCTGCACTAGTTCAATTTGGAAAAGTGAGAGATTCCAAAATAAATTTTAGGGCTATATTAGTCATATAAACAATAAATAAGTTTACAAAACAAATTAAGGATTAGATTAGTCAAAATTTTATGGAATTATCCAAGTTAGCTTTCCAATATTTATGGAATTCCGAACCTAAAATTATTGATTTATAATAACATTATTTTTTTTTATTCAAACCAAATTATGAAGCATGATTCTTCGCCAAATAAGATTTCGAGACGCGTGAACCTGCCACTTAGGCTCACTGCATTCTGGTATAAGGAATTATATGTAGAACGGATTTTCTAAGCTCAACTGTACATAATATTTAATTTTTTCTTTTTTAAACATCTATATCTATATCTATATCTATATAAAGAGGTTGTTGGAAAAATACATTAATAGAAAGTTTGACCAAATAAATATAATGTTTGACTTACTATTAATGGAAAGTTCGAAAAAACAGATGTGAATCTATAGTAACGAAATCTGAATCCTATATTTTGGCAACAAATTTGGAGATTTTTATGGCAAAATTTAAATTCCATTTTTTTTCGTATCATATTTATTTTTTTACCAAAATTTAAATCATATCTTTTTTGGTAACAAATTTGGAGATTCGTATGCAAAAAATGTATCAATTATTTATGAAAACAATTCTAAATACAAATTAATTTAAAAACCTTGCAATTGGATACAAATTTAAAAAGCAAGTAGTTGTATAATTCTTAACAAATTCTTCCAATCTTATTGAATATTTTTTTCTTTCAAAAAAAGTGTGTAAATTGGATAAAACCACGTGCAATTTTTATTTTAAAATAAAATTGATATTTAGACGGGATGTACATTCAAAATTGTGTCCACGTTTTTTGGTAACAAAAGCGGTTCATCTTTGATATTTATAATCACCTTATCCAATTATTTAGGAAAAATTGTGTGCAACTTTTCAAAATTTAAAGGCCTCGATTTTTTTTGAATTCTTATGTTTTTTCTTAACCATGTTTTACCGAGATTTTAGTAAGTTCATATCATTTTTTTTCTTGGTTAAGTTCATATCATTTTCTTTAAGAAAGAGACAGTTGCATAAACATTAACAAATTATTTTAATTTTTTATTAGAACTATTCTCAATGCAATTTGTTTGATAAAAAAATTGGTGCAATGTTAGGAAATTTCGGTTGCATTTTTAGGAAAATTTGATGATTTTTTTATTTGGTTTAAAAAAAATATTCGGATCAATTAGTGTGATAAAAAAATCAATTTATTGGTAGAAAAATCGATTTCATTTTCAGGAGTAATTAATGATGTATCAATTTTTCTTAATTGAAATTTAGAATTAGATTTAAATAAATAATGGGTGAAAATTTCAAAAAATTTCTACTTTTTTCTACTATAATTTTGTTTAATAAATAAGACCCTTTAATTTTTTTTTAAATTTGTTAACTAATAACAAATAATAATCAATTTTAGATAAAATTCAAACACCTATGTAGTACTTTACGTGCTAAAGAATCAAACCAATAATGTTGTAGATAAGGAAGTGAGTGTTTGATAACATATAAATTTATTTTCATGATATTTTTATTGCCATGAGACAATTTAAATACAAAAATACCTTTTAAAAAATAAATAGGTAATAAGTGCTCCCATGCATCACACGAGTACTGTACTAATATGTTTGAACTGTAGTTGTGTATATTATTATTATTTTAGAATGTGGATAGCGCTGCTGATTCCTATTATTTCCCATAGGGATTATTTAAAATTTCAATTTTATAAAGAAATCATGACAGTTTAACTGACCAAAGGAGAACTTAAATCAAAGGTTCTAATTACATTAGCAAATCCTATGGGAGCCAAAATATGTGTCAAATTAGAAAATAATGGTGCGAAAAATATCCATTAATAAAAAAATGTATCAAACAAGCTTGAGCTCGAGCTCTAAGGCGTCTGGCTCGGTTAGGGTTGAGTCGACTCGAATAAAACCCCTCCTACAGCTGATGTTTGTTACTTTCAATTCAAGAGACGCGAGCTTAAAAGTGCAGTTTGGAGAGCCAAATCTGGCATGTGCAGTTCTGTTAATGACGATTTTGCCCGTCTTCTGCTGGACAAGCTGTGGGCTAGTCCAATTGGGTCACCGAGGTCAGGTTTGTTGGGCCAAGCTCATTTTTTACAAAGCCCAATTTATGACCAGCCCAAAATTCAGCCCATTTTAGGCGCACGTGGCTAGTTGAATCGCCTCGTGAGTCGTGATTTAGCTAGGAGTTTCTCAATTTAGCTCATATTCATAAATCTCCACATCTGAGAAAAGCCCTAGCTTGAGCTAGGGATTTTTGCTATCTTCAACAACTACTCCTCGATTGTTTTTTCTTACATCAAATTATTTATTTTTTAGCCTCTTGTTTTGTTTGCTTCGATCTGTGAGCTCTGGAGCTATGGACACTCGAAAGAGGGGCATTGGTGTAGTCGGTCTTAATGCCAATGGAGGTCTTAAGAAATCCAAGCCAGGTATGTGTATGTATGCTGTGTTGTTCTGTTTTTCCTCTAATGGGTATGTGCTGAATCAAATTCATGCATTATTAACCTTTTGGGTATTTCAATTAGGTCTATGATACTTGGTAATGAACATAAATTGAATTCAGATGTGCGGGTGTAATTAAGTGCCATTAACTTGCGTTTATATATTCCATTTTGAAAGGTTTACTTTTGTTGAAAATCTGCTGAGGATAAGGATTTTGGTATCTGAAATTGTTTAAGTCTATTGCTTGAAGCGCATTGCTGTAGTAATCCTGGATTGAACTGATAAATTATAGTTGTGTAAGAGTTTAATGCTGTGGGTTAAGTATTGCTGGGTATTTGTGTTGATTATAGTAAGAATGAGCGAAAAGTTTAACCGGGAAAATATAACTAATGTTGTGCAACAGAAATGGACTCCATGTCAAGTGGTATAGGAAGCAAAACGAAGCCGTGCACGAAGTTTTTCAGGTTCAAAATCTCAACCTACCTAATATAAAATTTAATTCAATCGAATGTTGGATGACTTGCATCATTGCTAATTGTAGTAAAAGTTACTAATACTTTTAATTTCAAATATAATATAATAGCAATATGTTATCTTTTTTGTGAGGCCCTGGTGAGGACAGGTTGTGCATTTGAAGGTGTTGTGAAAGAGAGAGTAGAAAACTAGTTCATTGGGGTTTTCAGTACGTTTGGATACAGAAAAGTTTTGAATCGGTCCTATAACATATGGGTTAAACTGTAAAGAATCACGTTTTGAAATACCAAAAAAGTTAAAGAAGAAACGTAAAGAGACTAGTCTAGTTGAGTTGCTTTATGTTAAACATTATCTTTTTGCCATACTCTGTATGCTGTCATACGGTATGCAGACCAAAAGTGCAATTTTGATTTCTGGATAATAAATTCAGCTTGCTTGGTAATATGTAATGAGATTTAATGCTATTGAAAATTAAAATCACTGCAACATTCTGAATCATTTTTCAATATGTTCTTTCATCTTGTCAAATCTTTTGAAGTCTGCGTGGATGGTCTCATTTTTCCTGATAGGGGTAGTTAGATTTAGTTATAAAAAATTGTATAGTGTATTTCATGTTGAGTTAGTAATTGCTCCACCCCGGCCTATGACCACGCTTCCATATAGTATATGGAGTTAGACTGTCGCAACCTTATATTGTGTTGGCTTTTAATTTTTTATGGTCCTAACCTTTTTGTTTGGCTGTACAATTCTTTTCCTTTTTTTTTCTCTGTTTTAAAATTAGAAAGAAATTGTTGAAATTTTTCCTGAGTTATTGGTTCCCAGGTTAGAAAACATTAATGATACAAACTGGAAATTTTAGCTAAATTGTGGTGCAGTTATCAACTATTTGGAAGTTCTGGTCATTAGCTTCTCATACTGATATTTCGGTAAATCAACATAATCTGGCAAACTGCAAGTGCGGGCAAACTACAATGCAGTTGTATCTTGGAAAGACTTGCAAAGAAATACTTGTAATACATGGAAAATCTGATTAGAAATTTTGTTCAGTGAGTCAATGGGATAAAGAGAGTCAAATCCCAAATGCATTCTTACACCTAGCTGAACTAATCCTCTCTTCTATCTCGCCTTTCTCTACTCCATTCTTTTTTGGAGAAAATCCATTTGCTTGTCTAGACTAATAAAAAATATTGCAAATGTTAAGACTTTGAAACAGGGTCCTGAGAAAACGTGTGGTAATAAATGGGCTTCATTGTTGTCATTCATTTCAAAATCATCATAATGATTTCCTCCTTGTGCTCTATAATCCTGTTTTTCTCTATTTTCTCTTCTCCTTCGTTTTCTTTCCTTTCACTTCCGTTTTCTTTTCTATAAGATTTCTACAGACGACTCAACTTTCCCCTTTTTTCCCCGCAGCAAGGCAGGTTGCCCGTTCGGCGAGAACTGCCATTTCCTCCACTTCTTCCCTGGAGGCTACGCTGCTGTGGCCCAGCTAATGAACCTTCCCCCTCCGGCCCAGCCCGCCCGAACTCCCTCGGGTCCACAGCCCATCAACAACAGTTCATCCTCTGCAGCAGCCTTCAAAACCAAACTGTGCAACAAATACGGCACTCCCGAAGGCTGCAAATACAACGACAAGTGCAACTTCGCCCACGGCGAAGCCGAGCTTGGCCGGCCCATCAACCCGCAACAGGTCCACGAGGAGCCGGCCCGCCTGCTCGTGCCCATGCCGACCCGCTTCGTGACCCGACCCGACCCGCCGCCCGCCTCAGTCAGCTTCGGTGCCTCTGCCGCCGCTAAAGTCAGCGTGGACGCCTCGCTGGCGGGGGCCATAATCGGGAAAGGGGGCGTGAACTCGAAGCAGATATGCCGGCAGACGGGCGCCAAGCTGTCGATCAGGGACCACGAGACGAACCCGGGCCTGAAGAACATAGAGCTCGAGGGCACGCTCGAGCAGATAAAGGAGGCGAGCGAGATGGTGCAGGAGCTTATAAACAGTATTGGGAATAGTGCAAACGGGCAGGGGAAAGGGGCGGGCGGGTCGAGGAGCAATTACAAGACGAAGCTCTGTGAGAATTTTGCCAAGGGGTCGTGTACGTTTGGGGACAAGTGCCATTTCGCGCACGGGGCATCCGAGCTGCGTAAAACGGGGGTTTGACTTTTTTCAGGGCTATTACGCAATTAGTATCTGGGGACAAGTTGGATTTTTTTTTTTTTTTGG